GATGTCTCTCCAATTTAGAGACAAAGATGTTCTGTGGGACAGTGTCAAATGTTTTACACAAGTCTATGTAGATGACGTCAACTGCTCTGCCGCTGTCCATCAGTTCCGTAGCCCCATCATAGAAGGCCACCAAATTGGTCAGGCAGGATTTCCCCTTAGTGAAACCATGCTGGCTGTCACCAACCACCTCGCTGTTTTTCATGTGCCTCAGCATGCTTTCAAGGAGAATCTGCTCCAAGATTTTTCCAGGCACAGAGGTGAGACTGATGGGTCTGTAGATCCCCAGGTCTTCCACCTTCCCCTTCTTGAAAATGGGGGTTATATTTCCCTTCTTCCAGTCATCAGGAACTTCACCTGACTGCCATGAATTTTCAAATATGTTGGACAGTGGCTTAGCAACTTCATTCACCAGCTCCTTCAGGACCTGCAAATGGATTTCATCAGGAAATCATCATTGTATCAATTTCACTACTAGTTCTCTGAATCTCCAGTGCAGACACTGACTCATGTAACTAGGGAGGGGAAAGCAAGAAAACTTAAGTCTTCTTCCAAATCAGCCAGAAATCCAGAGGTGTTCTAAATTATATAAATGAATAGACTCCCTGGTTGAACTTAGCAGTGATGGGTGAAAAATCTTCCTGTGAATGTTCCTGTAAGTAACAGGTTTAAGGAGGACTGTGAAACCACATGGTCAAGTAACATGGGCATTACAACCTCTGGAGATTAGAGGGAACACAGTGCTATGAAGAAGCAGTTTGTAGCAGGGTTTGTGTCATGGGGTGTGACAGAAGCTGTACAATACTGCACAGAGAATTGGCTCTGAGAAAGCTGGAGAGTAGCACACGAAAAGGGTACCCAGGCATCAATGCCAAAAGAAAAATAAAGATCTGAGAACCAAGTCCTTTGCTCACAGAAAATTTTCAGTTAGATATTCCTATGCAGTCTCCATACTTTTATCTGTAAATGACTCACTATGCTTTTGAACAGTAGACATTATGACAGCTGAATGAATAGTAGGGGAAATGAACATGACATGACTACAGCAAAAACACTTTCACATTTGCTTTCTTAAAGTAACTGCAACTTCAGACTCCATTACCATAAAAGTTTGTGTAAAACCCAAATATGTGATCAGGATCTTCTTGTGTTAGCTACTATACAAATACTGAACGAGAAAAACAGGTTTTTGCAGCTTGATAGGCAGGGACCTTTGCATGAAAGGAGTCAACTTTTATTAGTGGTGTAGGGTGCTTTGGGGGGTGAGGCTAGACATTTTGCTAAAGAAGAATATTAAAGAATCTTGTGAAGGATGACAGCAAATTAATTTTTAATTAATTTGCAGTCCAGCATCTGTCGTGTGTGAGAGCATGGATGAACTTAATTTTCAGAAGTCTGGGCAAACCTCGAAGACATAATTTCATCATGCAGGTACCTAGAGATATATATAATTCAAACATGAGTGTTCACAAAGGCATATCTACACCAGAAATTTGCTTTCATAATTGAGCTAGAGTATTGGCCTGAAGCTTGCATTGCTGCCATGGTTGGTGATATGTGTGTTAATTCTAATTTAATATATCAAATCACAACAATCAATCACATCAGTCAAGCTAATTCTACTCTAAATTGTTAATGTAGATATACCAAATATTACACTTTCAGAAAACTGTTTCTTCTAATTTTTTAAAATAATTTTATGATTCTAGACTAGTTGCATACCTGGGTCAGTTTGTGATATGTAGAGTCATTGACTAAGGGTATGATTTACTATGCAGTGAAAAATCAGTTGTATTCTTAATTGAGGCATTTAGCCTAAGTCTCTGATTTAGATGGATAGACTTAGATGCCACAGAGTTGCAGGGTGAAATATAATTCCATGTTCAAGGAGATGATGTAATGGTTTAACCAAAGATACAAATCTTGACATTCAGCTTGGCCCCACACCTTGATGTAAGATTGCTAAGCTATGTATGGAGCATACCATACATAGCATACCATACATGCACACACACTGGTCATCTAAGACGTGGGGGAAAAAATGTCCTGTGAGTTTTACTTGTTTATTTATTTAAATAGGCTTTTAAAGCTCCCTATTTTAAACAGACATATCTTCTTCAGTCCACAGCTAGTTACAGATTGAAACACTCTTTGACATGTTTCTTTAAAACTCCCCCACTGTGACTGTAAATCATACAAATGGGTCTGTTGTTATTCATACCTGTTCTTAGCAGGAGAAATATGTAACATTTCTGTAACAGTGGAATCTGGGAATTACCACTGCCTTGTCCCACTTATCTGCCCTCGGTAGTAATTTGTGTACAGCACAGTGTGAGTTAGAGAGTTGCTATGTATAAATCCTTTACAGAAAGGATCACTGACTATTTTTCAGATGTCTTTACTAATTTGGTGTTTTAAACTCAGGTTTAACTATTCAAAAATAAACACAAACATTTAGGTATTGCCAGGCACTTGAAAATTGTTGCAAGTACTGGTAAATATCCAGACAAAATTCTTCTGGCTAGAGCGTTTATTTCACCTTTTCATGTTCAGAATGTTTTAAGATTTATGAAGGATACAAAATACAACTCATTAATTCTAACTTCACTTGTTATTAGCATAATCAATTAACCCAAGTGGAAAACACAGGGGATGATCATGGAAGACACTTCCACTATATACAAACTTTTTGTGAGTCTGAATATGTTTTTTTCAAATATATAGCAGTTTCCATGTGAATTAATAGGTGAGAAAGAGAAATTCAGAACATTTCATAACATACTTGTATTAGATAACCATAACCTTTCTGATAAAAACAACGGGGAAAAAACACGTATATTCTCAAACTGTTTCATTTTACAACTCCATTATAGAAATCTTTTCTATGCAGTTTACAATTCTGGGGTCTCTCTACTATGAAACATGTTCTTTTGGAAGGTTTTACAAACTACTACTAGTAAAATACTCTCTGTTTTGATAACCTGGCTCAGCAATGATGATTTAATTTACTTTAGGTAATTTTTATGCAGTTCACAGAAAACACTTGACTGCAGTACACAAATTTGAAAAGAGAAATTGTCTCCTTTAAATGTGCTTTCCTGTAGAAGAGCTGTAGACATGTTTCCTACTTACTTTAGAAAGGGAAGTTAAATCACTTAAATTTGCTTTCTTTCATACACTGACACTTTTTTAACAGATGCTCAGTTAATTTCAGTCTCAAATGTTGGCAAAAATGTTTTTAGCTGCAAGATCTCAGAGACAGGTTCATTTCTTTCCTGGTAAAAGTCAAGCCCAGTTAGCAGCTCCACATCCTGAACACGGGCAGAATGAGCCTGAACTCTTTCTTCAACCCATTCAGACAGCGTCTTATTTTCCTGACAAAAGAAACAAGAACAGTGTTCAAACACACAAACTCTGGTTTTTGGTGGTGATATTAGACAATAACTAGTGTCTGAACTGGTTTGACAGATTAAAGGCCTCCAATTGTTAAAACCCTTTTCAGGTTCCCTAGGCATGTTTACAGACTTGCATTCAGGGATCTCATTTAAACAGAATCAAATGAATGTCCCTTCTCCCCATGTCTAAAGCAAAGGAGAAGCAAAATTATTCTGAAATGGCAAGTATGATTTTTGACTACAAAGTAAAGTCAAGCCGTGTTTTAAACACACAAATAAGCATAGTTTTAGTTACAGTATAAACTATCTTCAGTGCTCAGGCTAGCCAAACAACAGGCACCTGAAAATGTGAACAAAATCCTTACAGCAGCTCAGTCTTGATTGTTGGACAGCAATAATAATTGCTAGATAGACAGGGAAAACAATGGAAATGTATGCACTAATCAATCAAAAATGCTATTTTTCAATTCTTTTACTTCAAAGGGGTTTTTTTCAAACAGATGGTGATCTGCTTTTCCATTAACAATTTCTGCTTTTGACACAACAGTTCACTAAATTCACTGCTGTGAATACAAAGTACAACAATATTTGGGGTTTTCTGATAAACTTTAGAAATAACAAATGTTAATTTCTAAAGTACAAAGACTAATTAATCCGAATTATTGATACTGTATACATAATAGTCAACTCTCAACTACCAGAAAGATTACTGGATATTTGTGGATTATCCACACCATAAATGAGGAGAGACCCAAGTTGTTTCTAAGTAGTGCAAGATGCACCTGTCTACAGTTATGAGTTCAAATTTATAAATAAACTAAATAAACACAGTTGTATTGCTTTGAGGGCCAGTTCAAGTCTGTGCAGCTATATTTGTGTATGGGGAGACTCTGTAATACACACTGAGCTAAGGAACCTTCTGCATCCCATAGTTTGTGGAATAGACACTCAGCTGGCTCGACAATACATATAACACTCAGCTAATTTATTTTGTTTGCTACAAAACATGAGATTTACGCTGTTATTATTGAGCATGGATTATATTTAATTCAAGTATTAATTTCAACTGGGAACTATCCATCTAAATGTCTAATGTCTAATTTCTGATAAAGGTGTAACAAAGGATTGTAGGAATTCTTCTAGATACACTGAAGGAATTAACACTCAAAGTCCTCTGATACTTCTGGAGAAAGATTATCCTACAGCCTTCCATAAAGCTATCTGATCACCCTGTTAGGTGTGCTGCTGTTCTCAGCTCTTAAGTGCCAGCATTCTCAAGTCCTCTTATCAAACCCTTCTTTAGTTCTCTTCCTTGCTTCCTACCAGCTCACTAGTTTCCAGCTACTTCTCTTGGAGCTTTTTACTCTCCTGGTCATCGTTTTAGCTCTCAACTCATTCTCAACTCATGGGGAACGAATTAATTAAACACTTAGACTTCTAAAGATTCTCCAGATGAACAGATCCCACTGGGAACCAGCTCACAAAACTCACTGGTACAAAGGAGCATGGAACTACACTTACAGCACAGCTTTCAGTGTTGTCAGGTCGATGAGGAATGATAAAAGACAGAGCATCCAAGGAGCCTGAACAGTCCAGTGGAGTATAGGACCTGTTCTTGCAGCTAGTCAGAATCACAAAGTAATGGGTTGGGACAGGGATTTCTGTATTGTTTACATGCCTAGAAAACAAACATTAATTAAGGAATCTACCAAGTATTTAAATCACTGATGCCATTAGTAATTTATCGTATCTCAGCATAGATCTTTCACTACTATGACTTTTATTTATTTTATAATTGAAATAAATACCTGACCAGACAGAGAGCTTCATATCTCTTTCATGAACAGCCAAACATGCATGGATTAGTACTTTTGCTATAAGTAATCCTACTGAAATCAGCAGAATTGCTTACATGATCAACACTCTACTCTGCCAAAGCCAAACATTTCTCCATCTGGAAGAGACAGGATACAGCATTGCATTTCACCTTCATTACATTAAGAATTTCAACCACATGAAACTGAATTGGAAAAGAACGATGAGAAAACTAGCTTCTAACTTCTTGACAGCAAGAAATGCCAGAATGACGTCTTGTGGTTGTGTGCTATAGAAACCAGATTAGGGTACCTGAAAGAAAACGTCTTTTTTCCCTTTTCTGGCTATTCCATGAAAATGGTCACTTTCGTGTATAAACTTATGAGAAGCTGGGTGCTTCCCAGATTTGCTGTACCTCTTCGGTATTCACCATTACTGAAATCATTGTACTGCTTCGTATGACTGAGTAACCATGCTGAATAAAACATGCTTATTCCGAACTGTAGACAACATTATGTGGTTAACTGGGTGTTACAGCATTCTGCTTGGAAGGAAGTTCTAGTCTCTCCTCCCTTCCATCCTCCTACTTCGTGGCAGAGCTGATTTTCCCATTCTCAAACCATTTTTGACAGATGTGGTATTAAGTCTAGCCTTGAATAAAACATCTCCAGTGACATATTCAGCTGTGCAGATTTCCCAGCACTTTCCTACTACATAAGTGTTCTTACTGTCACAAGGCATTTTCCCTATATTTGGAACAATTTAAGCTGTTTGTTCATATTCTGTTTTTTCCTCCTTCTGTCCTAATTCACTAACATAAATAATCAGTCTTTATCTTTTATATTTCTCTTTCATAGATTATTTTTTTTTAATGTGAGTTTTCTCTCATTCTTGTTTCTACTCACACAGGAATTTTTAAACATATTTTGTTATGCTAACAGAGCTCACTAAAATATACCTAGAACTTGTCAGGCCTTCAAGTGACCTGCATAAACCATAGCTATTCAAAGATACCACTTAGGAACATAACATTTTACATTCCCAGTTACATGATTTAGTGAAAGCAAATGCATAAATCTGATCTTTGATAAAACACAGCAGTTGTTTGAGACAACAGCGAGAAACACTGAACAGGTGAGCGAGCACAACATGAAAGTGAGAAAATTATGCTTAAACACATCTTTTGTATATTTAGATGTCATATATTATCCCAATATTCCTGTTAAAGATGCCCAAAATTCTAGACATAAGCTTCAAAAACACATTACTGGTCTGTATCTGTGCATGTGTACCTAGATAACTGCAAAGCATTTTTTTTACTGGACCTTTAACTTCTACAGTACTGTATCTGTTTGCAAGAGTGTTTGCTGTTGTATGAGTAGCAGTGGATGAAGTGTAATAAAGGGAATACTCTCTTCTCTGTGATACTTGTTTTTGAACAGAAGCTTGTTTGTGTGGAAATGCAGTGGAAAATAATGTGGGGGTTGACTTCTGGCTTTTCCAAGTACTTACTGTTTAATTTCATCAAAAGTATCAAAATGGCCATCATAATTGTAATCAAACACTGGTCCACTGATAACATTGACTCCATTCCTTTCTCTAGCATACTCCTGAAGAAGCACATTATGGAAATAGTCCCACAGATCTGTCATCAAAAGAAAATATAAGCTTAACATAAATTTGAAGTTATCACTAAAGAAAAAAAAATCCACCCTTTTTTTTTTCTATAGATGAATAATAAGAAGTTCCAAACCAAACTGCCTGTAAAATTAACATTTTCTTACACAAAATTTGTATTCCATCAAAGAAGAAATAGTCTCACTCACCATTGAAAGAGACATGGTAAATGCTTATAGGTCTGCAAGGCCCCTTACACTATTGGTGATGATGTATTTCATCTGCAGCTGAAGCTACAATTTTAGAGCTGTGAGGTCGTTAATTTCTGGCCTATCTGCTAGCACCTGCAACTGTGCCAATTCGTAGGAACTGAGACAATGCTTTGTAAGAGGAATATTTACCACCTGAGAGTTAGTCTAACTCTACATAACTCATGTCATTAGACAATTTGGTTTATTTCACAGATGTTATTTGAGAAAATACAATTTGCAAGATATAAGCTAATGAGACTATTCATCTATTTACAGCTTTTATGGCAAAAATAACAAGATACATTTGGGGGATTGAAGGTTGATTTACCTCTTGCTTATAGTCTAGAGTAACTTCTAAGTTTAAATCTCTTGTACAATTTTCCTTGGAAAATTGGATTTTTCATGTCTGTCTTTGACTTACTTGGAAGATTAAAGCCACTTAGGTTTTCTGGATCTCTGTTTTTTAAATGATGTGAAAGAATAAATGATGCTTTAGAAAGGTAGTTACATCATTGCTTTTCCTCCAGCTTTTTCCATAAGCATTTCTTCTTTCTATCTTTTTTCTAAGAAAATGAGCTTACTGCACTTGTATAATAGAAACATCTGCCTGAAATGAATATTCCAGGATTAATACTGTTTGGTTTGAGTCTCTCCTTGATGAAACAGGCCCTGTATCAGGCCATTGTTAACAGACTTTGGCCTGTCTTCTCTTGACACCTTGCAAAAGGAAATCAAAACTGCCATAGCCAGAGAAACTTTCTCTTTCAGGAGAAAACGCAGTGGATGAAGAGAAAATTCAAAAGCAAACAGGTACACCTAGCAGAGGTCAGACAGGACTATATATAGACAAAAAAATAATATAGGTGCATTTTAAAATTTCAAACATCTACTTTTAAAGTTCTAAATACATTTGCACAAGATCTGGATATACTGCAGGCATGCATTCATATTTTTAGGTTCTTGTCATAGCTTCATCAAATCCAGAGCCCTAATTAAAGAAAATTAATCAAAATCAAGCAAAACTTTGCAACCTACCTCTGAAAGCTCTATACATGGGAACAATATTGCTGGTGAGTAAGGCATCATACTGTTCAAGAACAGATGAATTGAAGTCTATATAACAGAAAAGAACTATAAATTAATGAAATTAAATAAATATACAAAGATAAATTTGATTCGTATGTCAAAATAAGTTATAGGTACAACAATTAAATTACATTTTACATTTGAATATGAGTATGAGCCTACTGCAAACATATCTCTAAAGTTATTTATACAATCTGTTCAATAAAGTAATTATCAAATCTGACAACAGGAAATGAATACTCATACAGAGGAAGAGGGACAGCACTTCATTCCAGCCATTTACATCTTTCCAACCAGTTTTCATCACATTCAAGTTGTTCCATTTTTAAAAGAAAGACTTTAATGTTCTAAACTGCAAATACTTAGATACAAGTAGCAGTTGCCCTGCTTTTGGTCAGTCTACAAACACTGGAAACCTTTTTCTGCCCAACATGCTGATCCAAAGAAGTTTGTTTTGGTGTTTGGGTATATGTTTAAACATAAACCCACATCCAGCTGATTAAGACTTTCTAAGCTCTAGCTATAAAAAGAACCATGCTCACTGGGAGGATAGAGGAAACTGCGGGTGAAGGTCAGCCCTTCTGGGTAGTTGGAACAATTTTGGCTCCGAGCAACAGGGATTCTAACATCAGCCCGCAGACAGTCTGAAACAGTGGGAGGAAGAGGAGATGTGTTTTCCTGTGAAAAGGGAAAAAAAAGAAAAAAATATTACACCCACGGCTGTGGCTAACCCAGTGCTTTGTATGGTTTTAACTTTCTAGAACAGACTTAATTGAATCTTCTCCTATTTTCATAGTGAATCAATTCAATGCAAGTAATGGACACTGATGTTTTCTGCCTAGTGTTTTTCCTCTATTTCTGTTTCTAGGTAATTCAGGGAAATCCTTATGCAGTGTGTAAAATTGCAATAACAACATAAGGTTATACCTTAGGAAAAAATGGTGACAAGTTTGGCTCATTTGTCACTTTTACATATTTCTGGAAACACCAACTTGATGTCACATCCTCCTGGAAAGCAGCTAGTATATAAAGATGAAGCTATCACCTCACCTTAGCATCTGAGAATACTATTTCCATAATAAGAGTCTGTGCTGCTGAAGAGTTGAGGCTAAATAAAGTCATTCAGTAAATTCAGTACATTTTACTGACTAAAACTTCATTGAGACATGTTAACATGCATGCTAGCTAAGATCTGGCCAAAAGTGATTATGATGAGTATAATTATTTCTATAACCTTTACATATTTTTTTTCTTTAACCTTTGTCAAAATTTTAAGATAGAATTAACTAAAACATGAAAATATTTTTTTCTATTTAACTGAATTTTCTTTTTCATACTGATTTACATGTAGTTTGTTTTCATTTTGGTAATAGAACATATTTATTTGCCTTATACCTTTATAAATGGTAGTTAAATGTCTAAGTTAACTTTTGCTACGTTGCTTATTTTGATCAGCTAAGACCAAGCAGAAAAAAAGAACTGGAATTTCTTCTTGTGACTTTTAGTACTCATTGTTCTACTTACTTACTTACTTGTATGAGAACTCCTGTAGATGCCCATATTACGGTCAGGTTGTATATTAATGGAAATTGCATATATCATATGGAATGAAATATAAAAGACAAAAGACTAACTTTGACACCTGAGCAGATAGCTGAAATTGTCAAGCAAACGTAAACCTCAACATAAAACTGACATCCAATTCATTTGAGCAATTTGTCCTTTCTAGTGTCCAAATCGATAAGGCAAGGTTAATAGATCAGAAGAATAGATGAGGGTTAATAGAATAGAAGAAATGAATATTTTAAACTTAATAATTGAGCTGTGGTAATCAACACTGCCTTCAACATTTTTACAGTCTCCAAAGGGAAACCTGAATCATAGTAATAAAGGTCTAAGTAAACATGTCAAGGACTGTCCTGAAGTGAACTTCATTCTTCTCATTAAATACAGTGGTCACACCTAATGTTATCCAAATACAGCAAGGAATCTACTTTTGACCTCTATCATGAATATGAGTTCTTAATAGAACTCTCATTTTCTCCAACTTGATGAGGACACCACTCAACTCTCTTCTCATTATTTCGCATTTCTTGAAGCTGACTATATGAGCTATGATCTCTAATCCAAGTGTCAAGGTGGGAGGACAGTGTTTTAGACCTGTCTGTCTGTCACACATACGTCATATAACCTGTATTTTCATGAACATTCCCATTCATTTAGGAGGTGAAGACTGCTCATGGCTGTTTCCATTGGACATCACAGGAGAAAATTCTCCAACGGAAGAGATGAGAATTCATAATGAACCTATTATGTCTTAAAATACTGAATAGACAACCACACAAGAATATTTCAGGTTGTTTTTTCAAGGATCTACAAGTCAGCAAGTAAACAATATCAAAAGATGGTGAGAGATGAGAATAGTTATGTCTCTGTCACCTTTCAGTACAATGGGATCAACAGTTAACAGAAGCCCAGATTGCAAGCCATATTGCTAATGGAATTGATATACTCACTCTGCTAGACCTCTTTTCATTTCCCTTCCCCAAAATAGAGGAATAAGCTATTTTTAAACAGATCATCTATCCATAAGAATAGAATGATTCTCAAAGAAGCTGTTAAAAGTGCTTAAATGAGATCTTGACAGTGATAGCCACCACTTCAAAACTCAGAATAAAAAAAAAAAAACATTCATCACCAATTCAACACCTTTAGCCCTTTTGGCTCTTCACCTTTCAAGTTAAAGAACCATAATGTCTTCTGAAGAAAGCAGTTACAACTAAAAAATAGCTTTGCCTATCACATCATGCATTACGTTTTCTGATGTAGGTTATTGTCTTCTGCTGAGCTAGTAATTAATGTTGGGAAGCATGAGCTATTTGCATTCCAAGACAGAATTTAAGCATCAGCTGTAGTCTGGCATGTCAACTTCAGCCAGCTCCAGGAATCTTTTTTCAGTAGTCAAAGAGTATTTCCTCATGGCATCTTAGAAAAAGGGTCAAATTATAGGGGGAGTTAAACCCATGAATTTTATTTCATTTACTGACCCCGAAAACTCCAACAGTTTATTCCAGAGCCACATACCCTGGAATTCTCAGAGACTGATTCAACCGTAATCATGTTTTTCAGAAATTATGTGATGTAAGAGACAGCAAATGAATGGAATATACAGAAATATGCATTAGAAAAAACTGTCTTGCAGAGTTGTACAAAGGTTCATTAATAGAAAAAAGATTGTGATATTCATAGGAAAGCTTAAAAGCTTCTGATTTGGGAAACCGCAGTCTGCTTTCCCTTAGGAATTGACAGGCAAGTTGAAACACTGTTTTGACAGCTTATCCCTGTTACAAAACAGGCTTCTTGGAAACAACTTAGCAGCAGCTCCATTCTTTTTTATCTTTTGTGTCCCTAGCAGATGGCCATTCCCACTTTTTTAAACAGTATTTTAAGGTAGGTGAAATTTAAAAGGTCTCAAAGACAATTTTTCTTTTTCAGAAAGAAAGAGAAGGGCCTTAGTCATGATACCCATCAGTCCTTAATCAGGATTCCTGATGCATGAATTACACTTTCAATCTGTTATATTACGTATTTATGACTAGTAAAGATATTTTGTAACATACAGGCTTATTCACAGTGTATGCAGTCCACAGTGGCATCCAGATATCATAGCTGTATCCGCTCACGTACTGATGGTGGGAAAGGAGGCAGTAGACATTTTCCTTCTGCAGAACTATGGGTCTTCCATATGGCAAATGATATGAGTTTGCCTCCCTAACTAGAATTTAAACAACAATTACTGATTCATTCTTCTATAACATTTTGGATGGTACAAAGGTTTAAGATAGCAGAGGAAAAAAAAATTAAAACATTAGTAAATACAAATGAAATTAAAGAAGGTAAACATGGGTATGTGTTTCAGGTCTTGAGTGGAATTAAAAGAAGTAGAAAAATAGTTTTCATGTAGTCAGTGTAATATATCAGACTTGTTTCTCTGCAATTTCATACCAATATAAATCTTTTGAACTTCTCTTGCCAGTGGTGTGAAAGTTACATCTTATTTGGCTAGGAAGCACTACAGTGCTTCTTAAAATTTCCAGAAACCCCATAAAAAGGCACACAGAAATATCTATGGGAATTTTTGATCAGAGAAAGATAAAGTTGTGGTTACAAGGTGGGGAACGAGTTATGGCATATAGCCTGAAAGTGCTCAGGCTTTCTCCAAAGACCACTGAAACCTGTATGGTCTTTTTCCTAGATTTTAATGGGATTCAGATCCAATTTCTATGCATGAATGTTGTGTTAATAGTACCAATTAACATTGTTTAAAGAAATAAGGAAGAAAAAAATTTTATTATTCTAGTTTGGCTTTCCTACTTCACTTTACATTGTAATTAACATTGCAAAAATTCCCACTGAAACCAATAGTATAAAATATAAACCAGGAATAGATTTAAAAATACTGCTATCCTTTTAATTTCTTGCTACTTACTTTCTTCTGTAGTGAGATTTAACCTCTCATTTAGTACTGAAATATTTGATTCCTGTAAAATATGAGAATCGCTCAGAATGAATCCATAATATAGAAAAAAAAAAAAAGAAACAAAGAAAAGGGAACACATTTGACTAAGAAGATTTTTAGATCCCAGAAGCCCCTACTTACATGCATACATGTGCATCCCAGTTCATCTATGGGAGTCAGACGGGAAACTGGGCATGAAGAAGGAAATGAGACTTCTTCTGCATGTGAAGGATTATAAAAAGGGTTTTTTAAGAGGTGGTTCAAACTGCCATGTGTTCCATTATTTGGCGCTGGTGTTATATGCAACAAATCTGTTGAAACATTTGAAATTTATAAACAGATTTTAATACTAAATGGCATTTTTTAAAGTCATTATCTTTCCGACTCTACGTAGTTCTTGTGCATTCATTTTAAATAGAGAAGAAATAGCTTATTCTGCTATTAAAACTATTGTAGTAACTACTACCATTAACTTCCAGTTTTCTAGACATGAAGGCTCATTGCTATCTGCCACTGCATTGAGATTTGGTAATTATGTATTTGAATACCACTGATACAGTTTTATACATTGCCATAACATTCATGAGATTAGATGACTTAGTGCAGAGTACAAATGTGATTACAAATGCATCACACTGTGAAGCATATTAGCCCATTGCATTTTTGTGTGATGCCTTAATTCATACTTTCTGAGGCTTATACTCCTAATTACTAACTGTGGGGACTGCAATGGTCCATCTTAAGTTATGAGCAAGAGCAGTAATTCTCTGCAAGATTCTTATCCCACAATTATTCCACAGGTGTCATTTCAACAACAAGCACATGAGGCAGGAGCACTTCTCTCTGATCGTTTAGTGGAATTCTTCTGCAATCAGAAACAAACTTCAAAGCTTAACTATTCAGGGCAGTTAATCTTTTAGCACTGTACATAAAGCAAAAAAGCATGGCTTCAGTCTTTCGTGCAAAAAAACTAGCTTCTGAATGAGTACATTCAATTTTTAGTTACTCTTAGGTCTTTCAACAGTGATTTGAAAACACTGTTGATTTATCATCTAAAGTACTGGATTGTTTCTACTCACCACACAGAAGGTTGTAAACCTCGATATTTTCAAAAGCATCCACTTCTGTTTGCTCTTTAAAGCTTGGGCCATATGCTAAGAATATAGCCTAGGTTGTAATAAAATAGAAGTTGTTGTCTTAAGGAATCCAAATTAAAAAACAATTCAGTTGCATTTTACTGAACGGAGACACTGGAAAAAAATATAGTCTTTTCACAATCCTTAAAACTTAAAATACAAGATTGTTCTGGTAAAGAAGGCAAATTTTTCCCATTGCATATAATTTGAAGAAAAACAAAAAATAGAAATTCATTTCTCAGGATACTTTAAACTATGTAATGAATTGGGGTGGTCTTTAATATTTTTATGCATACTTACAAAAATTATTGTTTGCTATGTTTCAAATCACACCTTTTTATGTTTTCATTGCAACAGCCGGTAACAATGCCATATCAACAAATGCACACTGCAAAAACTATCACATATTCTATACTGTGGTGGTTCGTCTAGCACATCATAATTTTCTATGTAAGAAGGTACAAGATTTAAATAGAAATCATCTTACCTCCATACTTTTAAATTGGTTGTTATAACCATGGTTACCCCCATCACAGTATGTGTAACTGCTGTCCCTAAGGAGAAACCATCACATAGTGTAAATAAAAATGGCACAAATAGAACCAGTTAATAACAGTCATCCTGACTCAATGGACACTGTATTAAGTCTTAAGAACTGACTTTGACATTATATTGTAGCACTTTTTGCTCATCCAGTGTTCACTTTTATAAAGATCTCTTTCTCCTGTAACAGAAATTGCTTTGGGCAGAAATAAATTATCCTAGGTAGCTACTGCGTGTACAGTGAACCAATGTTTTCAAAATAAATTGAAAAAATAGCTATTTTTGAACTGAGGCCTTCACCCGTCTTCAAGTTTCAGAACAAGTGTAATCTGCTCAGGAAAAATTCCTCAGTTATATTCTGTGATATCTGCATTTTAATATATAACTTACAATGGGAGAACTCTGCTGTTAGCCTCTGTGGAACAACATAAATAATACTGCAAGGTATTTTGCCTTACAAGACAGTGCATTTTCATCATGGATTCTAAACAGCGCAGAAGAGATATGGAAGTGTGGGAGGGGTTATAGAATTAATAACATGTCAGAACAGCCTGACTTATAATGACTAACACTTGTTTTAATTTACCCATTGCTGAGATACATAGATAAAGATGTAGTCATCCCATACTGACTCAATGTACAGTTGTCAAGCACACACATCCTGTTTTCAGAGGCATAAGAACATTTGAGCATAGTTTAAAAAAGGGTAAATACGAGATTTTTCAGATGGTATTTCTTTTGATATGTCCAGGACAGTTATTTGGTTGCATCAAAATAATCAAGTCATATACTGATCAAGCATTTTCTACTATTTGAATAGTCTTGAAATTCCGAGCAGGCTCATGCTTCCCCTACTACAACACTCTAGCTCAGTAAACACAGTATTGCTACTAACACCACAGGCTTTGTATTGAGTTTTTTAAGCCTCAGGACTAAGTCTTGTCTGAACTGTTCTTGACTTGCGCAGAGCTATTTTTTTTATTGTTTAGCTCTTACAGCACTTTTTTGTAATGCCAAGTTGGTTATGTCTTATTTGTTAACATATCAGTAATCTTTGCATGCCAAAGATACAGTTTTTGTTCAGAATGGAGACCCCAAGGCTAGAAACAACTCACCAATGGTCAATAAAGGAATGAAGATCTGGAACTGAGTAAAACCAGGCTTAGGTAAGAAAGAGAATAAAAAACAAATATCTAACACACGTAAAATGCACCTTATCCAGTGAACTGAAATGTAATGTTAACTCTCAGGCCAGTGAAGAATGAGCAAGCTGTAGTGTTAGCATGCATACAGGAAGGACCCAATTCAGATCACAGAGTGAGGAAGAAGAAACATTAACATCATACTCCTCTTGATGAAGGACTCATAATGCTGACTACTGGCCATATCCATACATGTTCCAGACTGAAGCCATCAGCCTTAGGACCCAGAAGGGCAGTGGAGGGGTGACTGTAAAGCCAGGAAAAGGCTAGATACTAGGAAGGCTTTGTACAACGATACTAACTGCGTTATTTTTGAGACTTTTTCTGTGTAATAATATTAATTTCCTTGTATTCTTCTTTTTCCTTTTTTTCTGAAAAATTTGATTCAGAGTAATGATAATTCTTTTATTACAATGTTAAGATTTGAATCATACTAATAATACATTCTTGGCTTTATGTATAAGGGGTGTTTCCTTTTCACATATAGTAAGAGTTTAAACGTAACAAACATAGAAATGCAGCAAGTCTAAAGCAAAACAGGAAATGAGGCATCTGTGAAGGAAATTTAAAAGATGAGAATGGAATGAAAAAGATAAGATAACAGTTCCACAAATTATGTTACCTCACAACCAGCCACTGTCGATCCACCAAAAGATGAACTTTATCAATACGAATGTTGTTAGCATAGTGGAGTCGTTTTGGCAAGTCAGGAGTCAGATAAGGCTTGAAGTACTGAGGGGATTTTTTGCACTGTGCAAGAGGAAATAGCCCTGTCATGTGTTTTGCTCAGTTTCAAAAATAAACCATCATCCAAAATTATCACAAACATCTCAGTGACAGGAATGTAAGCACAAAGCACCTTATTCACAGATAGCTCTTCAGATAACTTGCAGATCCCATTTTTGGCCCAAGAAGCAATGGAAGGAAAAGTGGCTTTTTTTTTTTAACTGCTTGAAAATATACTGCTATAATATGTATAACAAATTCACAGATAAAGTGGTAAAATTACACCTAAGTTTGAAGGACATTTAATAGTAGTCTTTCGTCTGTATGTCCATGCTAATAACACTGGCATATAGTATGTAAGATTACACTATAAGAAAGTTCCCTGGCAGTCTATTTCTGCCATCTTCTATTACTTTACCATTCAATTAATAACAAAGAAAAGCAAGTATACATAATGTAGCACAGTCTAGGGTTTTAGCTGCAAGACTGAACATTTATGCCATGTAAATGTCCAATGCTTAGCTATTAACTAAAGGTCTTAGCTTTCACATCCATGTTTAATGTGGTAATATAACTATTGTGTTAGCAGGCACACCATGAATGAGTTTAGCACTGAGAGCCTAATGACAACCATATGACACATTTAACTACATATGGCCATCAGGAGCTATTACAGCTAGCTGCAAGCATCATGGCAATACTTCCGAAGTGTTGGTCCTGATCAGGAATCCAGCACTGTCACAAAACAGAACATCTAAAATGCTGAGGAAACAGCTGCTGGGAAGCTGGGTAAGCCAGAGAAGTGGACTTGTTTTATCACACAGACAGTACAAACTATAGCATGCTTGGAGTCTGATCTGACATCTTTACCTCTAAGTACTAGAATCATATACTCTGTACAGAATGACATTAACAAGTGAAATTCAAGTAAATGTGCCTGCATAGTCATCAAAGAAGCATAGTGGAATCCAGGAACATGGAAAAATAAGGATTCAATGCATTTTCTAGCCATTCTACGAAGAATAGTCTAACTAAAGGGAAAAATAGAGGAAATCAACATATAATATGACTTTATGTCTATTGATTAGCGATTAATATACAACATCGAGCTCCTTTCATTGCCTAAAGCCCTCATTCTAAGAACTGAAACAGAAAAATCACACTAACAATTTATGAATAAAAAAAGAAAGAGGAGGTGTTCTGATACCAGGCTGTTCCTATTAGGCAGAGATGTCATGTCTTTATAACTATTAGCAATTGCAGTTTCAGCTGGGGTGGAAAACATGCAAATTGTGCAATCCCACTCACAATACTGTTCTTTTCATATATGGGGTAGGGGATGTTGCATTGAAAAGACTTCTGCTATTCCCAGCTGTTGATATCCTACTCCCCTGTCTGCTTTGGATGCTGGGGAATAAAGAATGTGTTCTTATTTATTCAGAATATAGAAAAAAATAAATAGGAACATTAAACAGGAACGTTCACCGCCCCTTGGACTTCAGGGGTAAGCAAAATCTACATGTAATATTGCACAACTGAGTTGTTCAACAGGTTAAAGGAAGACCTCTAGTGGAGATTTGTCTGAAATACACCCAGCTGAGACTGCCAGAATTTTTCCAAGCTGAGAATATTTATTCTAAAAGTATTGGAACATTTCTCTAATGCTTGGACTAGGACTAGTCACAGAATAGAAAACAAACTGGCAATGAAGGAAAGAAAGGAAAATTATGGCAATACATAGAAAGCAAGCAGTTTAAATTTATCACTTTTCAGTAAATATAGGCTTGGTGTTACTTTGTTTTGCACTCTGTTCTGCACTCTTTTGCATCCTTCAGAGCTCAGCTGTCACAGAGCATACCCACAAGGAGCAACGGTCTACATGGGAGACACAGTCAAGCTTGGACCTGCCCTGAAGTGCTACATCAAAAGAGTCTGGCAGGGATCCAAGCAGAAATACCGGTATGGGGTCCAGTGGTAGTGCAGAATGCTTAAAAGAACCACAAGTACTTAAGTGATATGTCATAAAAAAGCATAAAAGGGACATACTGCCTCATGCAAAAGGTCATTCTTGCCTAATACCATATTTCAGATCTCTGCAATTTCCAGAATCAGATAAAAACTTAGTGTCTCAGTCTAAGTGTCTAAGAGACTAAGAGTCTAAGAGACTAAGTGTCTAAGAACAAATCAAGTATTGAATTAACCTTCTTTCTGGTACCTGTTCAGTTTCCTCTAGGCTTCAGGGATTTCTTAAGTTAGAAGTTGCTTATGGATCATGTTTAATAATCCTTACAGGCCTATCCTCTGTTAATTGTCTAAAATCCCACCACCTATTTATATTTCCAGCCTCTACAACGTCCTGTGGCAATGTGCTTTACAATGTCATTTTCTGTTCCGTGGAAAAGTTGCTTTAACCTAGTCTAGGTGCAGCACTTGTGGTCCAGAGCTAAAGATGCCCATTATCTAAAGCATCTCTGTGTTGTATTCTGTTCTACAATGAAGATATACTCTACTTTCTCCACGTGAAGTCAGCACTTCTTCTTCTTCGAAGTGAAGCACAGAAAACTCTTTCGTTCTGAACAGAGATCCTTCATGGCAAACCTTTGTGCACCATCTTTGAACAGCCTTCAGAACTGCTTCCTATAGTACACTGAAGTCAGTACACTATTTAAACTGGCACTGTAGTCTCAGTTTTTCACGAACTGTGCTTTTTGATCAGATTCTTAGAGGAACTATGAGGAAAAAATATGGAAATATTTACTCACTGTGAGGTTTTTAACAATTCCTTCTGAGTCAACTGTTGAAAAAGAAAAGATGAATTAACATACATTCAAACAGCTGAAGGTCCAAAGCCTCATAAGAAAAATTTCAACATACTTTTTGTCTGTAGAATTGAATTTCTTTAGTAGCCTTTGAAGATAACGGTAACCATAATCTTCCGTAGGTAGGACTGTTACATTTCCAAGGGCAACTGTCTGTAAGTGTGGTTGCCTGTGAAAGAACCTAGTATTTTGGGCACATCAAGACAGACTGTAGAAAACTGCCATGATGATGACTGCCTACACCTAAAGCTGACACACCATTAGAACCAAATTTTATTCTCCCATGTAACTTCTTTTTGAAGCATAACCATTTTTACACTGAACTGGACCTGGAGCACTTGTCTTGTGCTTCCAGCAGCAGTCACAGAGAAAAGTCCAATACATCTTAGTATTTTCACCTTCCACATTTTCAAAGAGTGATTTTAACCTTTTGACATTAGATTTCTAAAAAACAAACCTGAGCACTTTACAGAAGGAGAAAAATAACTTCAGAAAAAAATAAGACCATTAGAGGAAAGGAGTCAATAATTATATTGAGATTAAGACACATACAAAACATCATTTTCTCTCTTCTGCTTATCACTCTGCTCCTGTCTAACTTAAGTTTTACTTAAACCAAGGAAAGTCTGCTTTTTATAGTATAAATATGGTGCCTACAAATACAAATACAATTAGAAAAGATTAAAAAGTACAATGGGATCCCAGCTTTTACTTGAGATCTGCAGGAATTATGCATTTTAGAATACTTTATGAGTTCTATAAACTCACTAAATAGAGCACTTCCATTGGTTTACGTCTTTCCTTCTTTCGCTGCATACAGAAAGTCTGGGGATTTTTTTTTTTCCAGTATGGTAGCACAATATCTATTCCAAGTCACAGTCAGCTCACAAGGTTTCAATTTTGTGTTCTTTTGTGATATTACCTTTTTCTTTTGGCCTAACCAAGACTTAGATCCCAATGTGCTAAGACTCAGATTCCATAACTTTGTATACATGGTTAGAAATAGTCACTGCTTGAGAAAGACTGACTGCCAATGTTGCACAACAAAACTGTGAAGAGCAATGCATTTGTGAAAGACCTCAAGTTTCAGTTCAAAACAATGAACCTCTCTTTACTTCATCTTTCCACATGCCAAGATAATGTAAATCAGTCTGCAACAAGCTTTTCTAACCTTCAATTTCATCTAAAGGGGTAATTCTTGAAAACAAAAAAACAAACAAACAAAAACCTAAAAAATACTTCCATGGATGTTTAAGCTAGGTTCAGTGAAATAGAAAGCTGTTCACTCTGCTAAATACTACTGATTATCCGTTTTCCCCCATTTATTTATTTAGTTCTTGTTATGTTGATTGTGCAATCCCAGGATTGGTTCACACTTACAGGTATAATAGTCCTCCGGAACATTTCTTGCTCGAATGTGAGCTGCAGGCCCAGCATATATGTAGAAATCAATCTGTTCGAAGTAATTAGTCATATATTCTAACTGTGTGCAGTAAGTTGACTCCATCCCTGAAGGATAATTTTGAATCAGTTATTTTTTATATGCCATAAATGGCAAGGAAGATAAAGTGAATTACAAAATGTATTAGAACTAGTAAGGACACATATTATACAGAGGAATAAAACAGTGTCTCAGTAAAATTTAGATTGAAAAAATAACTATATACATTACCATGATCAGCTACAACAATGAGGTTTACACATTTGTGCAGGTTTCTTTGTTTAAGTCCTTCCATTAGCATCCCCAGTGCTTCATCTACTAGCTGTAGGGCTTTAAGTACCTGTGAAATAAACCAGTTTTGTTAGAATTTTTGTTTCTGATTTCAAGTTCCCACTTAAATGAAATCATCAAAGTTTGAAAAGTCATCCTTTTTGTCAGTTTTCAGATTCTTAATATTGCTTCTTCTTTGCTTTTTCCGCCACCATTATAGATGCACAGAATTCCATTGTTCTACCACAAAATATGTGACTTAAAAAGACTCAGTTATTTTTTCTGTTGCCTTAGAAAAATTGAGCTTTACAACACGTTTATTAAAAAAAAGTATTAACACATTCAGATCAACTTTGCTCCTCGCTCCCAAATTTACATTAAAAAAAATCAGATTTATGACATTAAATAAATTAATTTTTTAGTATGAATATTAACGTTTTATTAACATTGAGAGTGTTCCAAAAATATTTGCATGCACATATTATCTATAAGGCCATTGTAGCACCCAAGAAGGCATGGTGCCCTTCTCTCATATATAGTCCCTTTAAACTTCCTACAGAAAACCACTGACCACCACTGAAATGATTTGAGAGAAATCCAGTACAACCCATCCTGCAGCCATTCACAGAGGATGGCTCTTCCCTAGTTGATTTACTGGAACAGATTTATAGTCTTCCTGTAGTCTTAGGAACTACAGTTCCTACAATAAGTCCTACAGTAAGGACAACACCCAACTAATCTTAAGGACTCCATGTCTGAGCACTTGTACCCTTCTTATTCCCCTAACTCTGCTCTACTCTCTTGAATGTCTTGTGTGCATGGACAATGTGCACATATACAATTATACATACAGGAATGGCTTTGTAAGCCCTTTATGTATAAAGAGAAATGGAGTTCCCTTTCCAATTAGGGAGCCTAAAACTATCCTGCAAAGAGCAGGTTTTCTGTATGTCCACTACAACAATTTTTTTTGTTGAAGAACATTTTCGAATATATTAAACAAGAACATTCCACGAAGGACCTGATGTGATAAATCCTAAACTCCTTAAAGACTGAACTTTTTGTCTGCATACAACTAAAAATGCCGTATTTTTTATTACAAATTAACAAATATTGAAGTAGAGTGTTAAAGACAAGACAGATCTGAGGATTTGCCAGGCCACATGCTCCCAAACATCATTTGGCAATAAAATTAAAGTTCAGTCTAAATATAACCATTAATACTATTTCTGATAGTGTGATATGAAATTATTTGCTGCCAATCTGTTTTGTTTACAGTTCTTTTGATTCAAACACAGTGTTGGAATCATAACAATGGGCTCAATGACAAAAAGAGTTCTTAATAGATGCTCATAAAACAATCATAGTAATTTTTGATTAACTATCTTTTCCAAGTTTATAAGTTGCTTAAATTCATAATACAGCACCATTTTTAGTGTGATTTAATCTAACAAAAACACCAAAAAAAAACTTACACCACCACTAACTGGTCCAAAAGAATGTCCAGAAGAATCTGGTTCTTCAATATACAAAGTGTAGAAATCAGGCCTTGAGTTAGAAATAAATAAGAGTGGAATATTACGAGAATTTCAAGACAACATCTCAAAAGAATTTTCATTAAAAAAAAAAATTAAAGTGGAATTATAAATAACTTCTTAAACCTTAATAAAAGTCCACACAGCAAACATAATCGTTCAACTTCCTCTGAGTTTCATAATTAATCAGCTTGGACTATTTGAAATTATAATTTGAGAAACAGTATCCAGTATCTTAATTGGTATCCAGAAATCACTCAGAAAAACTTCAAGATCTCAGTCAGCAGATCAAGCTGTTCCTTTGAGATGCAAGTGGAACTACCACCTGAAGGATCTCTTTCTGATTAAGCAGTGAGGCTCTAGAGAGCATGTCCTAACTGCACACGTTAGGAATTTTTAACAAATTATCATATAAAAGATTGTTCTTGGTTACATGTCACAAAGTCAAGCACCACAATCAGTAGATGTCTACTTTTCATCCTGAATTACTGCCTGCAATTATTTTCAGATATGTAACCTTTCTTGTGCAATATTTTCCATATAAGATCTTTTCATCCATACACTTAGACTAGCCACTGCATGTTCCATGGTTCCTCTAGGCCATGCACCAAGAAAAAAGACACAACAGTAAAAGAAAACTTACAGTATATTCCATTCAGATATATGTTCACTTTTTCATCTTCAGTATCTACAATCTTATTCTTGAAATGGTTAGCTGTACTTGTAGAGTGGGCTTAAGTTCAGCAAATTATCTGAGGAAGATTCCATGTTTCACAAACACCAATCAAAATTTTAACTGCTAAGCATTAAAATCTTTCTAACATATACTTTCACAAATCAGACAGATATTACTGTTACCTCTCAGATTTGGTGTAATCAAGCCATTTCAATATTCTTGAAATTCTCTCTTCATATGTAATCGAACTGAAAAAAAAAAAAAAGAAAGAAAAAAGGAAAAGAAAAAGAAAAAAACCCCAAAAGTATGTTAACAAGGGTTTTCTAATAAGCCTTTCTAATTCCAGGATACAGAAAAAGTATCCACTCTTTAATCATGTACTAAAGTCACAGATTTGGATTTCGAGAATGATGCATCTTAACAAGGTACTAGCAATCAGGTTTATTATTCTTATTCTTCATTGAACGTAACTCACTTTTAATGCTAAATTAGAGAAATCCCAATTTTGCAAACACAAACATGTGATGTTGGTTTGTATTTTATGTTATAAATGTATACTCCTACATTTATAATAATATACATGCAAAAAAGAGATTTCAAGTTCAGGACATAAGCCTGAAGTACAAGTCAGAATAAGTTCTATTCTTTCTAGCATGTATAAACCTTGGACTTTCATATTTTAAAAGCAAGTATGTCCCCAGCAAAATCTTTTTGAGGTCATGCTTTTTCTCCTATGAAGGAATTCACCCATTAAAAAACTTTGCTTTCCCCCAAAGTCATGCACAAGCTTTATGAGAAAACTGGGGCTGTTCAGCCTGGAAAAGAGAAGGCTGTGTGGAGACCTCATAGCAGCCTTCCAATATCTGGAGGGGGCCTACAAGGATGCTGGGGAGGGACTCTTCATTAGGGACTCTAGTGGTAGGACAAGGGGTAATGGCTTTAAACTTAAACAGGGGAAGTTTAGGTTAGATGTAAGGAAGAAGTTCTTCACAGTGAGGGTGGTGAGGCACTGGAATGGGTTGCCCAAGGAAGTTGTGAATGCTTCAACCCTGGCGGTGTTCAAGACCAGGCTGGACAGAGCCTTGGGTGACATAGTTTAGTGTGTGGTGTCCCTGCTCATGGCAGGGGGGTTGGAACTAGATGATCTTAAGGTCCTTTCCAACCCTAACTGTTCTATGACTCTATGTTAGTTATCTACAGTACTCAGCTGTTACTCTAAATGCGCATCACTGCAAAACCTTTGTTATATACAGAGACTTGCAGTTATATACTTGCTTAAGATTACCTTTGTAAATGTGAAGAATCATGGGAGATTTACTGAAATCATCGTGAAAATTTAGAAATAATTTATTAATATCAGTCTTCCACATCAAAAAAAAATACTATGAAGATAACTGCTATATTTTCACATGTGTAGCATGTGAATTAACTAGACAAAACATACAGAACTATCATTCAGCAGCAGTGTGCACATTATCACACACACAAACAAGACCAGAGGGAACTGATCTAGAGCCCATCCTCCTTCAGTAGTGTCCTGGGTTCAGCTGTAGCAGCCATTTGTCAACTTCTTAGTAGCTGGTGCAGTGCTGTGTTTTTGACTTTCAGTCTGGGAACAACGTTGATAACACCGATGTTTTTAGTTGTTGCTCAGTAATGTTTACTCTGATCAAGGACTTTCTCAGTCTCATGCTCTGCCAGGGAGGGGGGGAAGCCAGGAGGAAGCAGAGACAGGACACCTGACCCAAACTGGCCAAAGGGCTATTCCATACCACAGCACGTCATGCCCAGTATATAAACTGGGGGGAGTTACCCGGAAGGCCCAGATCACTGCTCGGGTCAGGCTAGGTATCAGTTGGCAGGTGGTGAGCAGTTGTATTCTCTCCCCTTGTTATTTCCCTTATCATTATTATTATTATTGGTGGTAGCAGTAGTGGTTTGTATTATATCTTAGTTACCGGACTGCTGTTATCTCAGCTCCTGAGAGTTACATTCCTCCGATTCTCCTGCCCATCCCTCTGGGAGTAGGAGGAGGAACTGGCGCAGTGAGCAAGCGGCTGCATGGTCCTGAGTTACTGGCTGGGCTTAAACCATGACAGTAGCTTCCTCATCCAGCATCCTCGCTTCAATTAGTTTCTGCTTCCTATAGCCTTTTGCCATGACTTTCAAGTTTGCATTTGCTGTCTTATGGTATGAGTTATCTGAAAGCTTATTCTCAAGTACAAGTATTTTTAAAGGGCTATATAGTATGGGTAGATTTTATGTGTGGAAATAAGGTAATCAATGGCAAAGCTCAGCAGTGGCTACTAATCAGCTATAGGATATTTTCCTAGTTGGAGATAAGTGGATTGCAGTTGGCTGAAACTTTCAAAACTGCCTAGGAGAGAAGAATATACAGTACCCTTTGACTTTCTCATTGTGAATTCCCTAAATGGTTTTGAAAATTTCAACTAGTATTGCTAGTTCCATGGCTAAACCAGGAGGATGTGAGACGGCACTTGTCTCTCGAACTGTTGTTCAAAAATCTTACATTTAATTTCCTTCAACTGTTATATGGCAATTCGGATTTTTGGAATAATTTACAAGAATTTACTACAAGCTCTATAAAAACTTACCTATTGTATACATTGTAGAAGGTGGGGTATGTTCCATTAATCAGAACATCAGAGCCTGGCCAAAAGAAGGTACCTGCTTTCAAATTTTGGTACATTGCTGTCAGCCAGACCTATAGATAAAGATACAAACAAATGATTTTATGGCGTTTACACCACTGGATGTCCTCAGATCACCAAAATAGAAATACATAATTGGATCAGAAATATGGGATGCAAGCATGCATTTCTCTTTCTTCTTTCACACATCACACAGTTGCTTAATAACCATATCTGATTTGAAGATTGTTTTCTACATACATATTCTGAAGAACAATTAGTAGTACGGAAGCCACAATATTGCCATTTCTTGGGTATTCTCAGCATAGGAAAAAAATCATATAAGAATTTATAATTGGCAACAGGTAATTATCTTTTTCCTGTGTCAAATGTCAATGGAATAGGTTGTAAAGATGGAAGAATAGTTCAAAGCTGCATCAGGGATGTTCAGACTTGACATTAGGAAACATTTCTTTACAGAGAGGGTGGTCAGGCACTGGAACAGGCTTCCTAGAGAGGTGGTCAGTGTCCTAAGATAATCAGCGTTTAAGAGGCATTTGGGTAATGCCCTTGGTAACATGCTTTAACTTTTGGTCAGCCCTGAATCGGTCAGGGAGTTGCACTAGATGATTGTTGTAAGTCCCTTCCACCTGAAATATTCTATTCTATTTTCTCCTGTTCTAATAACTTTATTTTAAAAAGGCATATTTGTATTCATTTTAAAGAGTGCAGCTGTGGTTCTCTTACTAATTTGACAGAATCCTTCACGAAACAATAGCAACAAAACCTGGAAACTTGAGTAAATTATAAGCATGACTACACAGACATATACTTATAATATATATATACACACATACACAAATACACATACATGTAAATAAACATATAAACAGTAGCTTGATATTTCCAGTAAATACATAATATTAATCATAACCATAGGTACAATCAGGGTGGGGGTTTTATTATGAAATGCGCCATATGTTAATATATGTGTTCATTTTGCTGGAAATTAAGCTCTTTGCTATTCTCTTCCTTGCTTTTATATGCCTGGACTCTGTATATGTATTCAGAAATGAATATAACTTGGAAGTAGATCCTCAGATTTCATTTTGTAGCTAGTTGTGAAAAGGCAAACAAAAAAAATACCCCACAAGAAAACCATATCCAAAATTTGCTGGAACTTCCTGTGGCAAGAGATCCACTCCAATACTATCCAAAATATTTAAATCTTTTCTACTAACTGCCACATTAAGTGAAATTGTTAAGCCTCAGCTTTAACATTTTAAGATTTTTTTCAATTTCAGAAGATAAGTAGATAGCAAACTTTTGTAAGCAGCCTAAAATATGAAGCCACGGGACAATTAGCACATACTGCAAATATATCACATAGCTTTGCATTTTATTCTAATTTTGTTTTATAATACGGCACATGAGCCACTTTAGACATAAAGGAATACCATGATGAGGAATAAACCTACTGGCTGCCCCTTCCACCATGAAGGGTTGAATTTTTCTGTCGATGAAAGTGAGAAATGCTTGTTCAAGTCTACATCATACATGTTGTTATCAACAATACCATGAGATTCTGGATACAATCCCTGAAAAATTAAAATAAACAAAACAAAACAAAAAAGCTGAATCTTGAAATCAAGTGGAAACTGAAGTATGTTGCAATACACACTGCTGCAGCATTGCAATTACTTTTAGACCTGTTTTATCAGAGAAGCAGAACATGCTTTTCTAACTCACACAGATCATCATACTCTTGCCAATAAATTCAGAATCTATTTCAAGATCCCTTCAGTTTCCCTATTTTCTCCCCAGCCCAATTTAAACCTGATGTGCTGTAGATTAAGTACCATATATGTCATGTGGCTATATATCACCTGCCAAACCCACTCTAACACCCACTCTTACCAAATATCTGTGTCCTCACCCATACTCACCCATACCCAATTTGACTGACAAAGATCAGGAATAACTGGTTCATGGGCCAGAAGCAGATAGCATACATATATAGCCACATAGATCATGCCTGCATGTACTATCTCAGCATCTGTCTCTTTACGCCTATAGCTTCCCCACATCTCACAAAAAGATTGGCACCACAAAAGCCTTCCTATGTCATCCAGATAGTGAAAATGAAAAATAGCAAATTCTCACTTACTGTGACAATAGTATAGTGGTTTGGAAAAGTTTTCGTGGGGTAAACAGCTCTCATGTATTTTGAATGCGTGCCACATGTTTCTGCAACAGATCATGAAGTTAATATAAATTCGTTTACATTTTTTTAATTGGAAAATAACAGTCTTAAACAAAAAAGAATCACCAGAGCCAGTTGCTGTGGGATTAGAAGGGAATTGTGACTCCAAATTAAGACGCATACAGCCTGGTGTCTGCTCATGAGCTAGGCCTACCACCCCATTGCAGTCAGTGGATCCTGGACACTCAATTCAGCTGCCTGAAGCCTAGATGCCAAAGGCCATTTAAGACAGCTTTAATGATCCTGCCTGGCATTCACATGTTGCTTCTACTTCCTATCTGCCAACCCAAACGAGTGTCTCAGATACTTCTGAGATACAAAATGGCAGGAGGCATGTTTATGCAATGAGAATGAAGCCTCAGGTCAGCCCAGGCAACACATTCTGCAGAGATGTCTGGTGACTAGCTGTATGGGAAGGACCCGGTTGCTTTAGCACTGGAGTCCTGTACCATTTGTGATATCCTCCAGTATCCAACATATCTGCATGAAAGTTGTCAGTTTTCATGAAAGAACAGTGGTAGATCTGTGTTCTCTCATAGCAGCAGCTAAAGGACACCTAGGATACGCCACAGCACTCCAAAGAATACTAGAAACAGAGGTTAACAATTTGTCCTGTGGCACCTTCTGTCTGTCGGTTGAGCTGACTTGCTCTCTAGGCTCTTGCACTGCACTGTATAGACTGTACTAACCATAAACTGACTGACTACAATGAGCATGCAGACATCTCACGTGCAGACACCTCCAAGAACACATCTAAATGCAGGTGTCCTGCTCTGGATTGAATCTCAACCTAGGTATCCTACTTTATCTCCAAACATTGCACCATTTTTCAGCAATTTAAGGCACCTATCACACCTAAATATCTGTAGCATCTAAATCCACTATAGCATCCAAGTTATTTACCCACAAAACAAAGGTGGGAAGACTGGAAGATGCCTTAATGTCATTTTCAAATCTAGCTCATGTGGAGAAACAGTTCTGTATTAAGCTGTGGGTATATGATTATCTGGTTCACACTCAAAAATGCTTTAATCTTTGATGTACAATGTTTCAGGCAAAGAACAGAAACAGATTTTAACTAAACAACCTCAACTAAGCAACGAAAGCCTGAAATTATTCAACCAAACTGTTCCGGTGTGGTACAGGAAAAAACAAAAAAAAAATAAAATTAAAGAGTGTTGAAAGAAGGGCTGAATAACTGATAAGTACATGAGAAAATCACCATAATTTTTCATGGATTTCTCTGGAACGGTAAAGGAGCTACATTCATAGTATAAGTATTCTATAACAATTAGCTTGATTAACTCTACTGAAAATCCTAGGTTAATAGAGTTAATACAGAGGAAATATTTTATGCTACAAATCAGCGTTACATTTTTTCTTTTGCAAAGAATTTCCTTTTCCTTTCCACTGTAGATTTCTGAGAAGAATGAGCATGAATGTGCATAAGAAATTCTTAAAATTGACCACAGATATGAGTAATGCAAAACATTGTCAATTTAGAACTATTGCTGATGAGAAGAAATTAATAAATGTGCAGACATTTTGTCCAGATACAAAGTATCTTGAGACCTGACCTGTAAAATGCTCCGGAAATTTTAACAAAGGGAACAATAATGAGTCTCACTTTTTAGAGCCCTTTACAGCACAAGCTAAAGGCCTTCAGTTTACTCGTTCTCCCAACATTCAGAAATACTAGGAAGCAGTTACTTGAACCTTACTGCAAACAGATCAATTTATTACATTATACCAATACATAAATTACACCGCATGTAAGTCTAATATAACATTCACTGATATACTTTTAAATATGCAGGTTCTCTCTAACATCTTAAAATACCTGACTTGAAAAAGTGCATCTTTGAGGAAAATTTCCCAATAACCCAATGAATTTTCTCTTTGTATTGTATGTTATGATTTTATCAGCTAGAATTTTTTAGTGGAGTACAGAGAATATGGGAAATCCTTCTTTGGAACTTTTTTCCCAGTCTTAAACAGGATCTGAAAGTATATTTCAAACCATTTATTTAATTAAAAACTGCTGACCAGCATTAAGGGCCTCACATTTGCTGTGCACTCAAATACAATTACTGTAGAACATATAATAATGAAAATATTCAACTGATGAGGGAGAGCTGATTTGTGATTTTCTTATTGCTAAGCAACACATATGCATGATAGCAGCAAAACGGACAGAAGAGATTACATGCAAACTTCTAAAGAAAACAGGCAAAGCATCCTTGGTAACTTACTGAGTTTTTCAATATTTGGCAGCAAAGAACTCCAAGTTTGCAAGTATTCAGCTCTAAACCCATCCATTGAAAAAAGGATAAGTGGTGGCAGATCAAACCTACAAGAAAATATGAGTTTGTCGTTGTAAAGGAGTTTGGAGTGTTTGCAACTTGTTGAGATCTTTAACAATATAAATCCTATTTTTAAAAGCAGAATCCTGAATTTCCATGTACTTCTCAAAATTAATATTACAAGGAGAGACAAAGAGTTTAATTTTGAAAGCAAATACATAATAGCTGGCGAATGAAGTTGCTCGGCCACTGTCCATAATATTTGAGAGGTCATGGCAGTCAGGTGAAGTTCCTGATGACTGGAAGAAGGGAAATGTAATCCTCATTTTCCAGAAGGGGAAGGTGGAAGACGCAGGGAACTACAGACCAGTCAGTCTCACCTCTGTGCCTGGCAAAATCTTGGAGCAGATTCTCCTGGAAAGAATGCTGAGGCACATGAAAAACAGTGAGGTGGTTGGTGACAGCCAGCATGGTTTCACTAAGGGGAAATCCTGTCTTACCAATTTGGTGGCCTTCTATGATGGGGCTACAGGACTGATGGACAGCGGCAGAGCATTTGACGTCATCTACCTGGACTCGTGCAATGGGTTCAACACTGTCCCACACGACCTCCTTGTC